TGGTGAAACTTCATAAGAGAACTAAACGAGACTTAGTAGTGTTTGCATTGGGGAGTGGCTTTGTGATTTGATGCAAGGAATGGAATCTATGTGATTGAAGAAAAATATTCTTAAGGAATCTTCAATTTTTTTTGTTAATGTTTAAATGAAAAAAAACACTTATGTTGATTGCAATTTTTAAAAGTAAGTTGCTGAATGAAGATCCAATAAAGCCAAATACTAGTGACAATTATAGATATATAAGTCCATCTTCTATAATGCATTTTGTTAGAGAGAGAGAGATAGCCTTTGTAGTCGAAACTCATCTCTAACTATGCAGCTTCAAAAGATACTTCAAGTCTCGATAAAAGCGTGTTTCTAACTTGTCATATGTTGGGTTTTGAGAGTCTATGACTAGTTTCTCCTTGGATCGTATGTATCTCCAAAGTCATAAAGGGCCAGTGCAGAAACTTAGGGCAAATGAAGGAGGTTTTTTCATATTTATTTTGTGATTAGCTTGCCATATGCTATTTGTTATGTGCCAACATTAGTTCTAAATGTTGGCTAATCTAGATTGGTGACTAGTGCAGCTTTTTTGGTGTGGACTTGTACCAGTGCTTGGAATCGACTAGAACAGTAACACTAACTATTTAAAAGCTGATTTAGTTCTTTCTTCTGATCATGGCTTCTTTTTGTTTGACTTGAATGCAGACGAAGCGCACCAAGAAGGCTGGAATTGTTGGCAAATATGGTATGCTGTGCTCTGAATCTGTTCAATAATTTCTTCTCCTTTCTACGTAATAGATTCACCAGTTGTGTGCTTATCTAAGTCACATTTCTTGGCTTCAGGTACCAGATATGGTGCCAGTTTGCGCAAGCAAATTAAGAAAATGGAAGTTTCGCAGCATGCAAAGTATTTCTGTGAATTCTGTGGAAAGGTACAACTTCTTTCAACTGAGTGTGGTTGGTCATATTTAGGCACATTGCATTGCATGTACAACCTAGTTATAAAAAACAATTAAGTTGACCGAGCTCTACATTTCCCTTCTCCCGAAACACATCATTGAAGTTTAAAAATTTTGTTTATATGGATCTTGTGATTCAATGCCTTAAAATTTGTGTCATGAGTAAAGTTTTGGCTTAGCTTGTGTTGGATTGTCGTTTTGTCTAACATATGAGTTCATGTGGTTTCTGTATGGTTTGTGGGTTTTTTAATGGTCATGTGCTGTTCATCATTGCTATCACGAAGAGCTCGCTGAATGTATGGTTCCTTGATTAAATTGGTGCATAAATTGTTTCCGTGTTTGGTGTTTCATTGTATCTTTTAATCTCTTTTTCATAAATTTGTAGCTGCTACTGACCAACATATCTTAACGCCCTTGTTGGCACTTTCCTAGTATGCTGTGAAAAGAAAAGCAGTTGGGATTTGGGGATGCAAGGATTGTGGGAAGGTGAAGGCGGGTGGTGCTTATACCTTGAAGTAAGTGTGTTGTTCTTTTGTGCTCTGGCCTGGCTATTTGCCTCTGTTATTTTGCTCTTCCATAACGTTGTCTCCATGATGTATATATTAGCACTGCCAGTGCTGTTACCGTGAGGAGCACCATTCGCCGGTTGAGGGAGCAGACCGAAAGTTGATGCTGACAATAAGTGAGCAGTCAATTCTGGTAGAAAGGTGATTAGAAGAAGTGCATCCTAAGCAAGTTGGTGTTTGGCTCAGCCATATTTGGTGTTTGATAGTTGGACAATGTGTTCTTGAGTTGGTACTTTGAGGCACATCTGAATTCTGAGTCTTACTTTAATTGGCTTGCATGCCTAGGAAAACATTTGTGGTAATGATCTCTTGCATCTTTAATTTTGGAATTGGTATAATTTTTTTTGGGAGAAAAAGAAAAAGATACCTTCAAACGCTGTTCCAAAAGATTTATTTGCCAGTTGGGAGTCGGATATCGCACAAATGAAATGAATGCCTCTACCTCAGGTTTCTGCTTGCAGGATGAGTGTAGATTGACTAACCTTACATCCTGCTGCAATGAACCTGCCTCGAAGATCTTTAAGCTTTTGTAATCTGTTTTTGTGAGAACATCACATTCTAAAATATAGTTATAGATAGTAAAGAGGGTTATTTTCTTAAAAAGAAGTTTTTCTTTTGGGGTGGTGGGTTTTTTTCCCGTATGTTGTTTCCCCCTATTGCTCATGTCTTTCTCCTATCGTCGCGTCGTCGGGGTAGAGAAGCAATGGGGCTTTGCGGAAGGAGGGAGGTGGTGGAGACAAAGCAGAGAAGTAAAAGGGATAGAGAAGCGATGGGGCTTTGCGGCGGAAGGAGGAGGTGGTGGAGCGAAATCAAGAGAAGTAGAGGGGGTAGAAGCAATGGGGCTTTGCACAGAGGGCGAAGGACGTGGTGGAGTCAAGTTAAAAAAAGGAGTACCGAATGTACTTTGTGGAAGTGATTTGAGGTGTGGTAGGCCTTCTTTTTTCCCCATCTCTTGTAATAATTACATGAAATGGGTAACCACACCATTATTTATCATGAGTCAATGAACTCTGCTTCCACAATATCCCCCTGATCATGAAGGCTCTCTGGCTTTCCCCTGAGAACAGATTGGTCCTGTGAATCCCCCTAAAATACCACAGCAGTGTGATCGCCCAGGTCCTCACTTTTTAGGCTGCAGACAGCGAGTCAAGATAGCAAGGCTGGAGGCTGGAGGCTGGAGGATGGCTAAGAAGTATGCATGATGGTTGGTGTGTCAGGCCATTCACAACTCTTTAAAATTGTGCTTGGTTGGTTGAGGCAGGAAATATAGAGACAATGAAACCTGCACCTCCAGCATCAACAGAACCCCGATGACATCATTCAACTCCCATCAAATATATGCAGATATGACAACTCAAATAGCATACAGAGATATATCAAGAACCTTCTTGTACAAACAAAGAAATTTGCATTCATCACAAGACTACACATATGATGGTTGCAGGACGAGGTTTTCAACTTACATACCTGATGGTTGGTGTATCAGCCATGCCATTCAGAACTATAAATTATGCTTCTTTGTTGGGAAGGGAGGAGGCAGGAAATAAACGATGAAATCTGCAACCTCTCGCGTCAACACGACCATGATGACATCATGAAATTCCCATCTGTTATTGCAGATACTACGATTCAATTGCGTACGGAGATATATCAACAAACTCATTGTACAATCTAATTTAATTTTAAAATAAAAATAAAAATTCTTCCAAGTAACACATAACTTGATAAATTTAGCATGACACCTGCCATTTAAAAATTAACTGCTATGCTAATGGAGGATGCAACCAAGCTCTCACATAAGCTGGAGATGAATGTGGGATGATAATTGAGCATGCTGCCAATACACTCCAAACTTGGTGCTCATGAGCTAATTATTAGGATTAAAAAAAAAAAAGGAAACAAATCATGGTCTGTACCCGACATGTCAAAAGGGGAATCCAAATGAAATCATTCTAATAATTTCACGCACTGGGCATGATCGGCAGACCTATCAGTACACGAGGCATAAGGGCTCCATAGTAAAGGTCAGAGTTCCAAGTTGAGTTAGAATAACAAAATTAAACTAATAAACATTCAAAAGGTAGATGCTTGCCCTGTGCATCAACACCTAGAATTTGTAGTGAGACTTTCCGAAACAAATAGGAGATATTATTCAAAATACAGATTCATATCATGCCTGCCCTCTAAAATGCAGTGTTTCTTGTTCGTCTAACATTTCAGACATTTAAACCATGCAATAACAATGTCTTGAGGAAGAGACAATCATATTTATTTTGAATAGTGATATTGTCCTAAGTTGGATATCATGAAAAGATTCACGTAACCGACCCAAAAGTCGGGATGCTAAGGTTGGTACTTAGCTCTTTACAAGCTGCAGTGACATAAATTTCCCACCTCAGCTACTATTGAATCCAAAGCAATTCAAAAGAAAGAAAAAAGATCAGGATATCCATCAGTTGTTGCATGAAATTTGAGGAAATTCTTCACCAGTTGTTGCATGAAATTTGAGGAAATTCTTCGCCAGTTGTTGCATGAAAGAAAAAAGATCAGGATATCGATCAGTTGTAACCGGTTCACTTCTTCGCCAGTTGTTGCATGAAATTTGAGGAAATTCAAAGTACAGGAGAGCTGAAGGAGAGATTTTATATAGCTTTGATTAATTCAAAATTATCAGTATAGTATTAATGATAAATCTGCATTCATTAAGTGATACATAAAAACACAATGTGTAATACCAACAAGAATTATCCTTCTCATCTGAGATAAGTCAGAATAAAAGGGCAGAGAGCAGAACAAATATATATAATTTAACATTTATCTAATGAAAGGTTTCTAATGACTAAATAGATTTGTGCAATGGAGAAAACTCCATTGACATTGTTATACAGTGTTAACTATGTTTATGCTATGAGATCACTAGGGGAAGTAAATCATATGCCCTAGGCTTACTATATTACCACCAAATCATTGCTGTATGGACACTAAAAGGAGTCCACAAGGAACAATGCATATGAACCAGCAGATATTTAGTGGTGAATCGATTCATATTAAATGTGAAGAGAGTTAGAGAGATACCTCGGAAAACATTGTTGAAAGCAATAATAGAGATTTGATTGCTCTTAGTTTGAATAGTTATTTTGTCATGAATAAAACTTGATGGTGGCCAACCCCATGCAGATGGGACATTACAGCTTCTTGCTCTCGTTATGGACTCCCTCAGGTACTTGGCTCCATGCAAGCTTAAGTGGTGTAGATATCAAACCTCCCCAGCTATTACATACAAAGAACTTCAAATCTAAAAGTCAGGATATCCATTGTTGCTTGCATCCTTCCTTCGAATTCCCTCGATTCATTTAAATTGCATGTCTGACTGCTCCATTACCTTGCCAGCTATTGCATGGATGTGAGACAATTCACAACTAAAGGCCACAAGAATAATTCAAAGGAGAGTTATCTAGATTAGCTTGTTCCAGATAATTAACACAAAATGTAAATGAAGGATCTGCTTCATCACATGACACAAGAAAACAAAATGTGCCATACCAAGCATAATTTTCTCAATTTTATCTTTAGATACAATACATGAGAACAAAAAGGAGGGAGGCAGAACAAACATGTCCAGTTTAACATTTATCAATTGAAAGCTTTACAGTAACCAAACAGAATTGTCACTTGATGGGGAAAAGCTCCATCAATATTTGATATACAGTGAGTGTTAACAGTTAACAATGTATATTCGAAGAGCTCACTACAGGAACTAATTCATATGCCCTAGGCTTGCTACTTCTAAAAGGAAAGAGACAAGTACCACCAAACCGCTGCTGTAAGTATATGAGTACTGCAAGAAACAGTCCTCCGCAAGGAATAATGATATCCCATACCAACGAATAAAATCCCTCGTATGGACTAGCATACATGTAGGATGAATTGAAACGAGGCACATAATGGTGACTTCTATAGGCATCATATGCATGGGGCAGTGCTCGAACAATAGTATTTCCAATATAGAAGGAAGGAGAAAGAGCCTTATATTTGGAGCTAGAGAATATGTTAAATAGAACCTGTGGGAGCAAAAATCCATCAAGTATTAAGCCAGCATAGGACATCAAATCGCCCCACAGAGTATGATGAGGCTGGGTAACATAAAGTGGTCTTCTTTTTAATTCCGATTGATTAGATATTCTGTGAACGAACCAGGCAGTCAACCCCCCAACTATATACAAAGGTAAGCATGTTTTAATAGAATTTTTTTCTGCTGTCCACAGATCCCTCTTGCCTTCATCAGCTGATCTTGCAGTACATGAAAGTTGAAGAAAACGAATTAGCAGTAGGAAAGCTACCATTGTCATGATCCTTACTATCACCTCATTTACCTCAAGCCACCCACCGCTCCACAATAAAACATTTTGACTGCCACTTATTCTAAACAAAGCTTGAAAATTGAGCACCAAAGGGATCATATGCCCCAGAGTGAGAATGACGACCATTGTGATAGATACCGATGGAAGTACTTCTGGGTTATTTTTGAAATGGAAGAGCTGCAATCCAATGAAAATGCACGAAAGTGTCAGAGAGACCAAAACCATGATAATTTCTATATCCATCCTCCACATAGATTGAATTGCCTGGTTCCTGTAGATAGTTAATGAAGTAATCTCCAGATGTTCAAAGAAAAGCGGGTCCAACTTGTCTCGTGTGCTCCTAATTGTTCCATTAAGTTGCTCCCCCACTTTGGGATTCAAAGGAGCAAGTTGTATGTTGATAACAATTCCACAGTCCATGGACTCACCTTGTTTCGCTTCCTTCTTACCAGCCAAGGAGCCTATATGCCGACAACCAACCAAGCAAAGAAACCCAGTTTGAGCATTGTATATTCCTTCTGCTGAGATCTTTTCTGCTTCATTCATACTTGAAGATGCATTTGGAAACGTAAAGTGTATCCCATAGCTCACATTGTGAAGGCTGCGATGCTCCTCGCTAACTGAGGGCATAGTATCTACATTGGATCCAAACAAATTACCATAAATCATCTGGCCAATTGAAACTGGGGTGAAGTCCCCCCATGTCGTCTTTCCTTCAGAATTTTTCACAGACACATGAAATCTAAAATCACGAAAAGCATTTGCATCAGGATATGTCCTTTTTCCCACACTTCTGGAACTGTCATTTGCACAAGACTTCTTCACAACTTCTGTCTTAGTGTAATTGTACTTCAAGCCAGGAAGAGAACCCATATAACGGTCAGTGCTCCAGAATGAGACTGCGTCAAAAGAGCCAGAATCATTCTCATTGTTGTCACTCCAAATACGCCCGGCAGCAGTATACCGACTCTCAATCGACCATACAGCAGGGAACCACAAGCAAATCCTAATTGTGCAATCATCAACAGTAGATCTCGACAAAGAATCGTTCAAGCTCCTTACATGACACGCAACAAGGCAAAGCCGGTTCTTCTGAGGATCCCAAGCCCCTTCACCAACCAGTGCCTTCCCGGGGATCAAGAGACTGCCAAAGTAAAAGCTACTGGTATTGGAGAATCCGATATACATATGAAACTTTCCATCACCAGAACATTGTATTTGATTGAAAGACATGAAACCTAGAGTAGATTCTGAGATCTCAGCAAATGGGCTACAAAATCCAGATGAGCAATTCTTCCCCAAATCCAACTCAAACCGCACCCTTGAAAGACTCTGCATGTAGTAGCAGAAAGAAGCAGACTCAAGCCGTAGCGACTCCACAGCATTTAGACGAGCACATGATTTCTGTGCATGAGATATCTGTGTGTACGCGTAATTCCCCGGTGCATACGCTAAGATAGCAATGGGGTCGAAATGATTCGAGCTACCGACGGCATCCAAGTTCTCCAAATTCCCACTAATCAAGCTCGAATAGATGTCTGTAATCTTTGGGTAATCGAGCATTAGGACAGCAGAAATCTGTAGAGGTTCACCTTCAAGCGATCGGCCATGGCCGGTCCCCACCATGCAAAGCTTCCCAGCGGCCTCAGACCAGTATCCGGAGAGATCGAAGCTAACCATTCCGCGCTGGGGGAATGTCCGAGGGATCCGAGGCCGGACATGATGGAACTCGCCAGCGGAGCGATCAAGTACGTGCCGGCCTCGGATGTGGTGGAAACCGGCGCCGGAGCGGAGGGTGAGGGTCGCTATGATCTGGAGGACGCCGGGGGTCTGGGTGGGGAGGATGGACCGGCGACGGAAGAAGAAGGATCTGGAGCGGTCGCTTCCGCCGAAGAAGGCGTCGGCGCCGGAGAAGATACCGGTGGAGAGACGAAAGGCGGTGGCGTCCAAGGAGTGGCCTGTGGTGGGGGATTCCGCGACGACCGTGGCGCAGTGGTCGGCGTACGAGATCGGGGAGGAGGAGGCGGAGGAGGAGAGGACGAGGGCGAGTAGAATTACGGAGGAGATGGGAGAAACCCTAACGAGAGGGGAAGAGGAAGTCGTCGCCATGGGCGAAGCTGCGAGCGCGCAGGGAGGCAGGACGAGGGTGAGAATGACGGGGGAGTGGCCGAAGAGGGAGGCCGGCCGGCCTTCTTATTGGTTGGCGAAACGTTATTTTCGTGGACCGAACATAACGAAACATTCACATACCGTTACAAAGTTTGTAACGAGAAGTTATATGACCGCCGAATCCCAAACCCCACGTTGGCGTTTCTTTTAATGGAAAAACATTTAAATGTATCGATAAAACAAGTTATGGGTTACAATGGGTCCCACTTCAGTGGGTACGACGTGTCACCTGCGTTGACCGTTGATGCAACGAATCTGATCACCATGATGCAGCATTTATGTTTTAATCATCCGATTTTTCTATTGATAAATAATATAAACGAAGAAGTGGAAAACAATAAACAAAAGACGGCAACATTTTTCTATTGTCATTATAATGAGATCACCCATGACTTTTATCTTCGTAGAATGTATCTGTTTTATCTTAACCTTCAAATAAGATATATTGGAGAGTTGAAGTTCGGATTAACTTGTTATCTCTATAATATTCTTAATGAATGAAGTATAACCCATAGAAAATTTTAAAAAAATCAAAAAAAAATTGTTATGCCAACATAGATCCAAATGAAAAATATTATTTTATTCAAATAATATTTTTCAAACTCTTTGATTTCTAGAATTTCATTTCAATCTACATGATTCTTCTAAACATATCTCAAACACACAGAGATCTCATCAGACATAAGTCTTTTGGGGAGTGACTTTGAAGATGGGACATTGTCAGACTCACATCAGGATTCTCCTAGTCAGGATTGTCATATCAAAAAGTTCAATTCAAGATCTATTTTACAAGCTTAATTTTTAAATTTGACAATGACAATGTTATCACAGCAGAACTACCAAATTAAATTTGACACTTAACAATATTGATTCTAGTCCATTTATCTACTGCACACACAAATTTCTATTGGAACACCATTGTTTTTGTTAGATGAAGGCAAAGACTTAGAACCTCACTGATTTGTGCAGTTGGGAGTTCCCTGGCTGCTGCAAGATAGTTTAAAAATCCCTACAGCAGCATCTTGGAGTTGTAGACGAGCTTTCTTTTGGAAACCCTGCAATACATTAAACAGAGGAGGAATTTTGAGATAATTAACACATCTTTGTAAAACAACATAATTGGGGTTCGTGCATAAGTTTGATGATCAAACAAAAGCTTCATACCTGCTAATAAGAAACTCAAGTGGCAGTTCTATGGAGGCATTTACAAGGCAGGGGAGCAGTACAAGTTTAAATGCCTACATTGTTTCTATCACATTGTTTCTTTGTGAAAGCAACAATGTGGAAGCATTGTCAGTGGTGGAGGTGTTCACAGAGGAGATACAGATTGACATCAACATTTACTGAGAAGAAACAGCCACGTTAACATCAAGCCTTTAATTCCACCTACTCCACATAGATGACTTCCTTCAATATAATTATGAGCCAAAAGAAGAAGGAATCATAGCTAAGTTAGTACAAGAAAATATTCTGCTTCATACATGACTAGAGGTCTTCAAAATCTTTTACTTCCTTTTCAAGTATTTGAATGAATAAGTTGTACTAGAGGTTCTAGATCATTGTTTGACAATGCCCATGACATTAGTCTTGATTTGGAATGACACACTAATCTAATCAACTTAGTTTTGAATCATAATTTTTCAGACATATTATAATAGTAGATAACACCATTAACAAAAAAAAAAATAGATTAAACACCATCCAATGCCCTATCAAAGGAAAAAAGATATAACACCATTGATAAACATTTTTAGATAAAACACCATTTAATGTCCTATTAAAGGAAAAAAAGATATAACACCACCAAATGAACTCTAAGTGAGCATTAAATGATGAACAGTATAATTTGAAATTTCTGAATTCAATCAGACATGTTAAAGTTTGAACAATATTGAAGTACACAATTACATAACTTAAGCTCTAGTTCCTGGTCTGGGATAATAATGCTTTCAGCTTCAATTGTCTATTGCTAATAGTATATATGTTAATATCTATGTGTATATGATACTAGCTAAGCAATAAACAAAATCTAGTTAACTGAATAATGTTGCTTTCAGCCATCTCCCTGAACATACCATTTGAACTAGCTAAAGTAGCATGAACATTGATTATGGAAAATAAACACACAATATGAAGCAAAGCAAAGGAACACATGCACAATCTACTCCAAGATCAGAATAACAAACTAGAAATATTTACATATGATATTTACATGATGAATAAGTTAAGATGGTTAAACCATACAGCTGGTGCTTTCTGAACTCTATAGGTCAAAATGTAACCTAAATGCCTTCTGGGCAAAATTAATTTGAACTTGATTTCACAATCATAAAGTAGTATCGGCTGTGTTGGCTATTCCAACTTTAGCCTTCTGAGGCAGAAATTCAATGCAGTCAGCCCCTTTGACAGCAAACTCCATCAGAAGATCCTCAAATAATTTCTCTAGGGAGCTCTTGAATGCTGGTGAGCAACTCTTATCACCCTTACTAACATCATGCACGCCTTCACCAACAACACATCCGACTTGTGCACCACCCATGTAGGCTTTGCATGCCACAAGAATCGTATGCCCACGATTTCGGAAATGTCCAGCCACAAAGTCGTCAAAATGCTGTAATCAGAACATGGTAGAAATCTGCGGTTATGAAAGTCATATTAAAAGCACTGCAAGCTCAAAGATAAAGAAGTTTAGCTTCTCAAGAGAACTATAAAACACATACAGAGAGCTTGCAAAAGTTTAACTTTTCAAAGTCATAAAAAAAAACAAAAAATACATATGAATTGTTCTAGTTGTATCCAGGATGCAACAGAGGGATGCACACCTCAAAGTGCAAAAAGAAATATGTATATAATGATGCATGATTCATACCGTTGGAGGCTTCCTTAGTGAATATAACATTGTTTTGCATGACAAGAGAAAAGTATTCTCATTATACATCAGAGATTCCTTCTCCCCATGATCTGTATTAGCTGTTTGTGCATATCCTGGCTCATTGAAGTATGGCTTGGTATTGAGAACAAGAGCCTGAATAGAGATCAAGACCTGCAGCATTGTTGAATTTAATGGATTCCATGTTTCGCATCCACTGCCAGGCCATGTATTCAGAAGGCTAAGGCAAACCTTCCCACAAGCATACAAGTTTGGGTTTAGTCTGAGCCCACCAGAATGATAATGAACCATCTGCATGATATTAGAAAAGAATCAATCTATTTCTTGCGACAAAGATAGAAATCATTGATTGCTAGAAGTATAATAAGAGTTACACACCGGAGGGGTTTGGGGATAGTTCGGAGGAAAGTAAGTGTCGAAGAAGAAAAGGCCATCATGATATGGAGTTCCAGGTGGTCCAATTATAACAGCCCTTAGAATGTCCATCCTACCCTCATAAATTCTAACATATATCATCTCTGTTCAGGACGTGACATGAGAACCAAAAAGTCAACAATATCAAATGAAACAAGAATGAAAAACAAAACAAAAGTGAATCTGATCAGCTCGAGTATCACTCGTTTGGTTTCCAATTCTGGCAGAGCAAAAGCACTACGCTGTCAAGAATTTTATGAGACCATATTATAACAACATTGGTAACATGAACCTCGCTGCAGTGACACTTGAGAAACATGATGCAGATGACATGAAAATTGTGTAATGAGAGCTATCATGTAGGAAAACAAGTTATTGTATGCATCCAAAGAAACAATGCAGGACGAGCACAACATAATATTCTCCAAAAAAAAAAATTCCACTAATTGACATTAGGAATGCAAGTGTCTGCTTAAAGAGAGCCTAATCTTTTCAACTTACATGTTCCCAAGTTCAAAGAATGCGTAAAAACTAGCGTCACATACATGCAAGAAGACAGAAAATACCAGATAACAGACAATACATGGTGGATGGTGTGGATGAGTCTGTCCAGCTTATAGTTCTTATCGTTTACTTCAGACATTAGCGTGAGAATATGATATAACACTACTATTTGAGGAAAACAGAGGTAAGTATCTGACACAATTGTGTGGCTGATAGACACATCAACTTATTTGGGTTAGTGATATTTCTTCCTAAGATGAGAAGAATGAGGAAGTCAGTCTTTTCTTATTTTCTGCTTTCCTTTTTCTTTTCAACCTATATGCTTTGCAGAAAATTATGCTACACTAATTCAACATATCACAAATAAAATGGACAACCTTACCATCTAAGTGATTAATAGGACATACTGGTAATTTTCACAAGGATTGAATGTTGAAATCTAACAAGATCTACATCAACAAAATTATAAATATCCAGAATTGACTGTGGTGCGGCGTGTGTCACAAACTCACCAGGAAGATCTTTTTCTAAGACCTTCCACTCATGCTGAATCCTCTTTGACCAATCTTTTGAAGGCTGTTAGTATAAAAATATCAGGAAAAGTTAGCACAGCATTTAGAATTAAAAGTTGCATAGAAATGTTTTGTATTACTGACCTTTTTAGTAGATGGAATAGCTTTTAGAAGATCTGGTCTGCTGAAATAATGATCTTCATGATCCTGAACAGTATCAAGTTGTTTAAATGATCTATATTTCACATCAATTTCATCTTCAATCACTATCTTGTCCTTGTTCTTGCTTAGCTCTTTGGTAGCAGGAACTTCCAGCCATGGTACAGTTAACTCAATGCCAGTTGGCAGGTCCAGATCATCAAATTTAGTAGCCAAATTAAGATCAAAATCATTTTCAATATCTTCAGCATCATATTCGTAGTCATATTCATCATCATAAGCATAATCATATTCTACATCATCATAATATTTAAGATCCAGTTGTCCTGCCTCATAGCTCTTTAAATTATCCAGTGGTGCGACATGTTCAGAATCATTATTTGCACTCGAACTCATAAGGTCATTGAGCAAGGCATCCTAGATTGACAGAAAAGGAATAATTTCTTTCTTATTCATATTAGTTGATAGTTTGGGTGGTTGATAATTTGGGAAGCAAAATAACATGCTAAAATAAAAATTCTGAGTAAGAAGTTCTTTGGGTATAAATGAAGAACTTTTCTACCTTCGGTTGCTTTGGACAGCTTTTATCATTTCTGACAGCTTCTTTGTTCTTGTAGTCTGAAGTGCTTTCACCGATTGACACAACACCATCATCATCTCCAACAAGCTCAATTACAACATGAGGAACAACCTTAAACACAAACATAAATTAAAGCTCAACAAGCATCTAAACTTTCCTATATAACAAACTCATTATCTGATGATCCAAAAAATAAATCAACAATGAGAAATAAACAGTTGCAATCAACATCAATATGTCATTCAGATAGCTTCTATTAAAGGAAGATAAATAAGAAAATTGGTAATGAAACTCCAACAAGGCTTATGTACTTTACCTAGGGTATCAAATCAACACTAACAACAACACCAAACCAAGAAAAAAAAGAAAGGATGGTGAAAGATGAATATGATAAAAAGATTAGAAGCAATACGACAAAAATAACACTGCAGTTCATCGGTTTAGGATGTTAATTATTGTACATGTCACAACAATACAATTCATATCACAGAAATAAAAAGCGGATGCATATATCTTCCTGCACAAAAGATAACTTCAAAAACAGAAAGCTGCGATAAAGGTGCTGCAAATCAAGACTTGCATTGGCCGAGCATCTAGCCCCTCTTGGGCAAGCCAGACCCATGAAGTGGAGCCCAGATGGTAAGACAATTGCATGCTTGAGATTGATGCAAGACTTGCATACGCACAATTCTTCTTAGCATCCATATAAAGCTTTTTATCAATGACAAATAAGCTCCATCCATAAAAACGAATATGAAAGAAAACTTAAATACCAAACGGAATAAAATGCAGAAGTACCACAATCTAGAACTAATGTGGGCAGAAAACAAGACAGACACTCTAATTCTTTCACAAGCAGAAGATGAATTCTTTTAATCAGAAACTGCTACCAGTTTTTCGTTTATCATGGTCTTACCTTTGAAGCATTCGTAGGTATCAGATATCAGTTCACGATAAATAGAACAATAAGTATTTCTCAGATTTAATAGAACGTGGATTTTCTATGCCAAGAAGCACATTCACGAGCCAGATTTAATGAATATCCATCCAATTGAGAAAGCAATGAGTCATCAATAAGTTCCACATGCAATAAAATGGACGTAATAAAAAAAGACAGATAAATATGCGTATTAAACTCATTCCTAAGACGTGATGCTACACTCTAGGGTTTTCCTTTTTCCGCCCAAGAATAGGACATCGACAACACGATGACCTATCCGCAACCCAGCCCTCAAGATCGGATTTTTATTGGACCCATCAAACATCACAGGAGATGATTCAATCGAAGAGAAGTTACGGAATCGAGGAACGAGAGAAAAGAATGGGGAGGGAGATCGACACCAGCACCTGGCTCCGCTTCGGCTTCGGCGGGCTGGAGGTGCAGGCCGACGGCGAGACCTCCACGATATCGGGATCCTGGAAAGACGAGCTGCCGAAGAAGAGGACGAGCCTGCACGGAGGTCGAAGAACCGTGAGCGAAATTGTTGGTGGGGAAGACGAGGGGCGGATGGAGGGCTCACTCGGGTTCGGCGGCGGGCGGAGGCTCCATGGCGGCCATCGGCGTTGATTCCACTAGGGTTTCGGTGACCTGGGAAGGGGAGGACGGGGGGAATCGGGGATTAAGTAAATAGTATGATCGAACGAGAAGAAGGAAACTTAGGAACGACAGGAACGAGGAGAGACGAGGGAGGGAAAAAGATGGGGGAGTGAGACTGGGAATCCTCTCCAACTACTGTAACGACGCGCCGTCAATCGGAGCGTTCATTGTTTCGAAGTGTGGAGTGGCCCCCGCGGATGCACGGGTGTGATGGGAGAGTGAGTTACAATACTTGCAGGTGATCCTCGGGGGGAACTATCCAATCCAGTTAGCTTTACCATGAGACTCTTTCCCCTCGCTCTCTCTCTCTCTCTCTCTCTCTCTCTCTCTCTCTCTCTCTCATTCCTTTCCTTTTTCTTTTTTATCTTTTAAATTACGACAAAATATATTTTTTGAGCGGTTTCTTAGGAAAAAATCCAAGTCATTTTTTTTTTCATATTTCACCTCTGAAATTTTTATAATGCTTTTAGTAAGCCCTTTTCTATCTTAAATAAAATATTATCCTCGTTAACAACTTTCTTAGTTTCATTATAATCTAACTAAATCGAACTAGCAATATCGATTTATTGTTAGTCCAAATCGATCATAATATTTTGAATAGAGTTATAATGTTTTTTATTACTAATTCTATTTGGATCACCGTAATCAAAATTTAATTAGTTCAAAGACATTGTAAACAAATCTCAATTAATCTCAATTATATATATATATATATATATATATATATAATAAAC